GTTGAGTATCAGAGTGTTCCATCTCATTTCCCTTTGGGGTTGCTGTAGGTGATCTGGAAGTCTGGTTTTGAGACTTATTTATGTGTCTTTTCATTTCGACAGGGCGGGGGGAAAGGGGCGGTGTGCTGTTGGCACCCACATGGCTCACCTCCTCTGGGCTGGAAGTGGTAGAAAGGCAGCCCAGAAGTCCCTTCCTCTGGGCTGAGAGCAGTGGAATGGTGGTCTGGAAGCCCCTACCTCTGGGCTGGGAGCGGTGGAACCTGATTTTATTTTCAAAAAGGAAATAACATTAAAATTTCTTATTTAAATTATAATTTTTTTCCTTTCTTTTAGTACCAGGGATCGAACTCATGTCCTTGTACTTGTGAGGCAGGCAGAAGAACCACTGAGGTAAATCCCCGGCCCTTTTAAATTATAATATTAAGAAATTGTGAGTATTGTCTGGTGTCCAAAACAAAAATATACAGGCAGATATTTTAGTTATGTTATATTCTGCCTATCACTAGCTGTATCCATTATGCATTTATAACTTACACATTTTTTAAGAAGTACATAAATTTAGCAAGAGAACAGAAACAAAATGTATTACTTTTCTGTTGTTATGTACTCATGTTATTAAATTATGTCTAGAGAATGAATACCATCATAATTTTACTTTATGAAATTTGTATTTTTTCCAATCCCATACAAAAGCAATGGTTACAGTTATCCTATACAAAGTTACTTATAGTCTTAGGACACTAGGATCATGAATTATTTAATAACTTACTAAGTCATGAAATTATTTATCCAGATTTTCTGTTCTCTTTTCAGTTTCTTTTTAAATAAGTTTCTTGAGATATAACTGAAATAAAATATATATGAAACATACAAACCCATAAATTCACCATAAATAGTACACATAAAACTATGAACACAAAAACATCCCAATTTTTTTCTGTACATTTGTAATGCTTTCTTCTTTCTTCTTAGTCTCTTGGTCTAGTCTCAAAAAACCAATGATACACATCATGTCATTTAGAATTTAAAACCAGATGAGATTTTTAGTACTTATACATAAGGTTAAAATTAGAAACCTGTGCTTCCTCATGAAGATATACTGTTAAATTGTCCTAATACGTATGTATCAGGAACATATGTCAAAGTAAATATGTTTAATAGAAAAATAATAATTTCTATATTTTAATGATACCACCAAAATTCATATCAATTGTTCATTGTCAGATAATTATCCATCATGAAATAGAAAAAAATTTACCGTGTTTCCACCATGTGAATATAAAGCACTTAATCATTCATCTTTCAGTGCTGATGAGCACCAAAGGACTGAGTGTGGCATAGCCATTGCCAACCAGCATGTGGACACAATGATGAACTGGGTCATGATTCCACAATAGTGTGGAGATGGACTCAATAACGCAGTCCAAAATATACATGACAGTAAAAAAACTCATGAGCAACAAAATAGTCCAGGTAGCCCTTTGTTCTGCAGATGCTTTTGGAGAATGGCTGGTGCTGTGAAGATGCTGAGACTGCCTTTTATGCCTGCACAAGAGAATCACCATGTACCCACTTGAGAGTGCCATGAGTCTTATAAAGGACATGTGCTGGAAAGTCATCAGTGACAAAGATATGTACTTAAGGAAGGATCTAATGGGCAAAAGGGAGCAAGATCGAGTGACAAACATAAAATTATGTGAGGTCACATTTGGAATGGCAACAGTGAAGTTTAAAAAACATCCACTGATGAGCATGTTGAAGACCCATAAAAAGAGAAAGCACAGGTTCTGATGCAGGGATTTCTGTTTGAACTTTGCCAAACAGGACCTTCTGGGGCTGAGGGTGATGGCCTGGTGGATACTCAACAGGCAGGTGGTACAGACAGAGAGGCCCCGCATCAACCTGTGCAAATAGATAACAGATTTACACATGATATCATTTCCCAAATCTTTATACCTGAAAATGTCTATAGCTATGAAGCCCATAGTTAGGAGCATCACTATGTGAATAAGAGACAAGTGACCAATGGTCAGATCGGTGGGCTTGGGCCTGTGCTCCAGAAGGAATGTGAGGACATGAAAGAGAAGCAGGACAGTGTTAGCCATGATCCCAATGCTGACTTCAAAGAAAAACATGTGTTGTATGCCAATGAAACTGGAAAATCTGCTATTATTATTCATCTTCATGGGAGAAGAAGCAAATAGCATATATCTGAGGAGAAAAGCATGGAAAATTCTTTATTATACATATTCCTGCCTTCTTAATCACCCTAACCAACACTATGCCTTCTTGAATTATATGGATTCATCTCCATGTGTACTTTTCCCACTTATGTACACAAGTCCACTTCACACCTTCCAGGTTGTTTCAGGGCTTTCCCAGTTCCATCACTTTCTAATGAATGCATTATGGATCTCCCTGCTGGGCACCACTCTACCTCTGTAATAAAGCTGCCATAATAAAAAATGTATTCCCATATTTTTCTCACTTTTAATTTTCAAAGTCCGCTGTTTTATTTGGCCTTGTACCTGCATTTCCTTATTCAGTAAGTTAATGTTTCCTCACATGTGTCCAGAAAAAGTAAACCAAAAATTTTAATCTGATTGTCTAGTGATCTCTGAGATTTGTAGATCACACACTGTAACAAAATACAGAAGCCTAAATGGTCTTGTATTTCACATCACTATAAATGATATACTATTATTTATTAAAAATCTATTTATTATAAACTATAAAATATATCCTGATAATGTAATCAATATATAACAATTGTTAAAGATAATATATTTAAAAATAAAGGTGACATAAATTAAAATGTGAATTACAAATTTGTTTTTTCATATGATTTCTCTGAAATTCAAGCTATAGTTTAATTTTGTTTCAAACAGTTTAGTCTTAATATAGAATCTTTAAAAATTGTTCAAAGATAATATTAAAATCTTCTGACACTGAGAGTAAAGGACTGCATTATTTTCAGCATTATTTAGGAGGCAAATTCTACAAAGACCAATAACTAAGACTTGGCAAATGTATGCAGATGCAGAAGATTTACACAGCATTCAAAGCATCATAAGATCAGAGAATCATTACCTGAAACTTGCAAAGCTTCTTTGGAGTATAAAAGTTGGTCTCCTTTCTTCAGAGCACTCATCTATGAGAATTACATAATTTGAGGCAGTCATGATCATTCATTCATATTAGCTTCCATGGAACACTCAGAACAATGACAAAAACATACAATCATCCAACTGTCTCTAAAATTTATGCATCACACAAATCTCTTGGTGAAACATACTCAAAATACATTTATATTGTGTTTGTATATAAGCGCTTCTGTATTAATATATTATCTTATTATGAAATACATTCTGGAGAATATGACCATCTCCTGAAAACAAGATTTAATTCTCCCCTCCCAGTCATGCCTTATCCTGCTCATACCTGCTTTGTACCACATAGCTGAGGAGCTCAGTCGATGGGACAGGAATTCTCTCCATCAGCAGGATAATCTAGAAGACCCTCCTGGTAATACAGCTCTTAGGACTGACAATACTGTCTGTTAAGGCACCTAGGAGGCCTAACACAGCAAGCTCAAAAATCTCATTTTACACACTGGAGGAAACAAGTTGCTCTCAGAAACTGGAGGTTAATAATACATGAATAAATCACAAGGAAAGTAACTCAGAAGAAAGGCCTGAAGGAACCCTCATTCAGAAAGCAAACTGGGAATGAGATAGGAAAAACCTAATGGGGAGCATAGAGATAAATTTAACACACAATTAGGAAAAACTGTCAGAGAAATCTGTGCGTGCTTTTTGACCAGTCACTTTTGGAAAGTGTCATAACTCACGGTGAAGTCTGCTGTACCCTCAGGAGAAGTGTAACAAGGTCCATATTCTCATTAATATCATAATACAGGAATGGTTGACTGAAATAGTGTTACTTCTGCAATTTCTAAGACCATGGACCTACTTGTGGTAGATATGAAATGGGCCATTACTAGGGAAGAATGCTCAGGTGCATGTACTTGAGCCAGAGGCAGGAGAGAACTGGAATCAAGGGGGGATGGAGAGGCCTCTACAGACCCCTGTACAAGTTTGGGTACCTTTGGAGTTGTGGGTGGATGGATTGTAGCATGAAAAAAGAAAGGCAAGGAGGGCACATGTCCTTCCTCACCTGCAATATAAGCATGACGTGCATGTTGTTCAGGGATGAAATGATTTATGTCCAGCACATAATCAGGTACCTTAGATACATAAACGAACACTCCAATTGTTTCTTATTACTGAATCCACAGATGAACTTCACATTGTTCTTATTAATAAATGAAAGTTTAAAAAAAAACTGCCTGGAATAAGATTCAGCATGCATATGGGAGTCAGGAAGCTGTGTGGATATATTTGTTACAAATTTCACCATTTGACAGAATCAGAATGAAAAAATAAAAAGAAAATAGGGGAGAAAGAGCTGACACCCAAGGTGAAGGCAATGTCATTGGCAAATAGATGGTCAGTCCTAAGCACACAGCTTTTGTGAAATGTGCCACTTCCAGGAAAAGGTAGAACAAATTTTCAAGATTATTTCAGTAGATGAACACCATCCACACCACCCCCACAACAGTGAAAAGTATCTATTGTTTTTTGAATTCCAAACACTAATGAATGCTTGGGGGCTTGATTCTTCACAGGTGTTTACTGTATCAAGATGTTTAAATGCATTTGAGCAATATCAAGAGAAGCTCATTGCTATTCCAAAGTACAGAAACCCAAATGGCACTTTTTCACAAGCAGAAACTGTCATTTTGCTGTGTACGAGGTTGTTCTTCTCTATTTAGTAATGAAATAAGGCCCATCTTGTGCTCTTGTGAATCTGTTTTCACTTTCATTTATCACCATAACCTTTGTAATTTACTACAAAGAAAAGTCCAATTCACATTTACCTGTTGCCAATAAATGCTCAAATAATCAGCGTTAGGTGAAGGATTCTAACATCCACATGTAGAGATACAGGAAGATGAAAATGTTTTGTTGTAAATGTTTTCCTCAAGAAAGAGGTTCTGGAATATTCATTATCAATGAGAGCAGAAATAGTATTTTTATAATAAAATGAAGGGAGAAAAAAGAATGAATAAGAATATTCTTTCTATGCATGACATTCTGACAGATTATAATCTTAGACTCTTTGTAGAATGGGAGAGGAAATATCTATTGTTGTCGCTTTACTTTCTTTATTTTTAACATCATTGCAGCCTAACTTTCACTGTGCTTTGACTGTAAGACCCCCTAATTGGTAGAGCACATGGCTAATTGCTGACACCATTAAATAGAAATTTATAAAATTATTAGTGGGAACAGAAAGGTCCATATAACAAAATGGTATTTTGGAGAAATGAAGTTAAGTTCTCTCTATAGGAAGATTCTTTAAACAAAGAACCTCACTAAATATTAAATAATTTGAAACTTTTAAGATAAACAACTACAGATATTACTTGTTCAAACATATTTTAAAGTGCTTTATAAAGATGGTAGAAGAAAAATGGAGTATTTCATGAAGACTCACAATGAAAGTTCATTTTCTAAGGGGTATAAATACAAATTCTGATGCCATACTCTAAAGTGACAATATTTTCCCTGCAAATTGATTTGGGTAGTAAACCAAAGTAGCTTCATGTAGAGAAAAGAATGCGTATGTGAAATTAGTTTAGAATTTCATCTGAAAAAGTCTGCTAATTTTATGAGTCATTAAATTAAATTACTAAATTTATTTTCCATTGCATTGCAGAACGAACCTTACTTTGAGCTGGATGATGGCTGGAGCTGCACTGTTCTTCTGAGTCCAACAAACTTTCAATTCAGGGACTCCACTGGCTTCCTTCACAGCATGTCTAGGACCCTGGTCACCCAACTAATTCTTCATTCCTTGAATATAATACCCACTTACCTACTGGGATGAGTGGAGGAGTTTGGCATATGTGAGAAGAGCCAGTTTATTTGTATGGAAAACTTATCATTAGCTCATTTCTCAGCAGGCCTGTAACTTCAGTGTCAGCAGAAAGGTGACAAGACCCCATTGGGGAGGATAGAACACGGTAGTTGCCAGCGGAGCATTTCACCTGTCTCTTAATACTTTAATCTCTGTGGGATCATAGCCATTTGGGGAGAGCTGTGCTTGAAATTTTTCTCTAAGTTCCCTTGACATATAGCATGAAGGATCAGAGCCATGTAATCATTTCCTATTCTCTCATTTCGATGGTAAATACAAATTAGTCCAAACCCAATGCCTATTTCACAATGGTTGGGCTCTGGGGTGAGAGACTTGTCGAAGCTCCTGTGATTTCCCAGAAGCTTACATAATCACCTCCCAACAGTGTGTCTTAGGCACCTTCTTCCCTAGCCCATTCCCAAGTGGAGCTTGTGGCTTCCAGGAATTACTGGTCACATATCCTATGATTTCCAAGTTTTCAGATTCAAATTCCAGCCAATGTGACAAAGTTAACTGTGAGTGTGAAAAGAAATCACATAACAATTGGGAGAATAGAAGCAGAGCTCATGGATGAAGGTTGAGGTAATTAATAAGAGGCAGAGTGAACAAAATTGAAGCTTTGGCACATCCATTCTAAATGAAAGCCTGATGATCAGCTTTCACTCTCACTAAGAGGTAGGAAGAAGCTATTACTTTCTCTGACAAGCACTATATGCAAATATTCTCCAGTCACAATATGCTTTACCAAAATGATAGACAGAATTGTGAGATATGAGACAAAATGGGACCTTGTGAGCTACTAAAAACACATAAGAAAATATACTCTTGTAGCTAGTCCCACTGATGTCTCAAGTATAATATTCAGAAGATAATACTTTAAATTAGCTATTATGAATAAGCTAAACATTAATACAAATATAATAGATGATAAGATTAGCTATTTCTTAAGACAAATGTAAACTTCTAAGTAGTTTATTCAAAACACTAGAACTGAATTCTGCAATATCAACTATATAAAATTTCTCATGAATGCGCCTGGGGAGGATCTGACATTACACAAATATTCCTCAAGCCACCACATGTTAAAAATCAAGCACCACGTGTGGTGCAGGCCATGGTCACAATCTCGCTGCTTGACACAGCTCCAGTGAAACCGAGACTATGGCTGAAACCACGACACCGTCTTTTGCTTTCGCTTTCCGCG